CAGCAGCTAGCAAACCGTAACCAGGCTTGCAAGGCCTCTCGCAGCTGAGCTGCTCAGGCTCTGCCTAGACCGCTCAGGCCCTGCTTGTTCGCTCTATCGGGCCTTCGCTAAGTTTAGGGTTTAGGGTATATTGGGGATAATATTGGGGTAAAATTGGGGTAAAATTGGGGTAATATTGGGGTATTATTGGGGTATCATTGGGGTAATATTGGGGTAATATTGGGGTTATGTTGGGTAATATTGGGGTTATGTTGGGTAATATTGGCGTAATATTGGGGTATTATTGGGTATGATTGGGGTGTTATTGGGATATTATTGGGGTAATATTGGGGTATTATTGGGGTAATATTGGGGTATTATTGGGGTTATTTTGGGGTAATATTGGGGTTATATTGGGGTAATATTGGGGAATTATTGGGATTATACTGGGGTTATATAGGGGTTATATTGGGGTAATATTGGGGTTATATTGGGGTATTATTGGGGTAATATTGGGGTAATATTGGGGTTATTTTGGGGTAATATTGGGGTTATATTGGGGTATTATTGGGGTAATATTGGGGTTATATTGGGGTCATATAGTAGTCTATAGTATATTGGGAATAATGGAAAAGAAAATGGAAACTACTATAGTATATTGGGGTTATATATAGGGGATAATGGAAAATAAAATGGAAACTACTATAATTGAGAATCAAATGGAAAAGAAAATGGAAAATGAAATGGAAACTGGGATTATTTGCCAAAAGTAGTCCTCACATTCTCCCCCAGTCTCGCACCTTTCGCTGGGCTAAGGATGAGTTGGGTTGCAGGCCTTGCAGAGGCTTGGTTTTCACACTGGTGGCCACAAGTCTTTGGCTGCAAAGTGTGATCTTGCTAGGTAGCGCTACCCGTGGAGTACAAGCTCAAGAATATTGAGGCCTCATCTCGACGACAGAGCAAAAGGAGGCCTGTCAACTACAGCCTTTTGCAGGCCACGGAGAAGGCCAAGCGCGAGTACCTGTATGGCGAGCAAGCGAACGCCAAGCCGCACTACTGCCCCTGTTTTGACCAGCTCTGTGTTTCAATCCAGAGAGAGCCCGCCCTAGCATTTTCTTCATCTGCCCAGTGTTGGCAATAAAGGATGCATCTTTGCATGAAGTAGCTTGGGGTCGTGTCCAGCGGTTAGCGCAAAACGTTCAATGTCAAATGCTTGCGCCCGGCACTGAGCCGCTTGCCAGGGGAGCAGTCATCGAGACAGATGCCGTCACCAGGAAGGCCTTCGGATCCAGGCCTACCTTCAGTTCTCTCCGGTATTTGAGAATTACTGACACTTCCCTTCTGGCAGGTTTCTCTTGGCATTCGCTGAAAGTTTTGAAGCTCTCAAAGCCTTTGTTTCCAGGTTTATGAATGTCGACAAGCGAGATGACTCCAAGGCCGTCAAGAATCTTGTGTGCTTCTACTGCGAGATTTTCGATCTGCAAATAGGGGGCCCATATCAAGGCCTACAACAGCACATGGAAGCCAATGCATCCAAAATGAGCTGCGTGCACACCACAAATCTGCGTCCTTCAGCCCTGTTGCAGAGCGCAACTGACGATGCCGCGCTGGAGCGTTTCCGCAAGCGATTCCGCCCTGGAACTCAGTCAATGCTCCAATGACTTCAGTGCTGGGGCTGACTGACTTCGTTGAGACACTTCAATGGCCTGTGGGTCCTTGTGAACATTTAGCTAGTGCTCAGCCGCAGGCCTGAGCAAGTTCCTGTTGGATACTCTGCTGCGGCACTTTGAAACCGACAGCAGTTCTTTTCTCTTTACGTTACCTTTCGTGTGGCTGTTGGATGATGCAAGTAAAGTAAAGCTCGATTGCTTGGTTGATGCTCTTCTGTGCGTGACAGCTCTTTTCCAACATCATGCAGCGTCCCGCAGCAATGGATTGTACACGGAAGTTTTTTTAGTTTGCGCTGCTTAGGCCAGTGATGCAGCTTTGCGTCGTTCACCTGCAATGTATGCGCCAGTGCAAAAAGGTCAGATGCGTACAAGGATTTGCGGTTGCCAGGGTGTCTGGTTTCATTCAGTATCAATGAAAGCTGGTCTTTTTCGCAGCATCTTCTGAAGCATCATTATGCTCGACAGCTGCAAGCTGTAACATCCATGAAGCTCTGAGCTTTGCCCTTCATGTATCTGCGTAACAGCGTAAGACATGTGCTTGCCATTTGACGCTGGCTGGCAGACTAGTCGTTACAGGTGGTGCATGGGTCAGTCGCCGCTTGCTGGAGCCATGTCTTTGCAAAATGAAGGGCTACTCAGTGGACAAAAGCACCATTGAGCAACTCGGCTGAACTTTGAGGTTCTGCTAAGATGCATAGCCCACTGTGCTACTGTAAGAGTAGCCTGTCAGGCGATCTTGGTCGCAGCTGTCCTTCTCCTTCAAGGCAGCCGTGTCTGGGATCTCATGAGCTAGAAGAAGTCAAGCCATCCCACATATGTCAGGATGGTAACATCATTACCTCCTGGAACAAGCGGGCAGAGGAGGTAAACGGACCTGACTCCGCCTGTCCGCGCTCCCCACTGCGAGCATGCTTCCAGGTCTTAGGTCACAAGTCGGCAAACGTCCTGGGCCAGGCTCACCACTCAAGAGCTCGCTCTTGCTTCCAAAGCCACTGACCTTTCTTGGAGCATCTGCAGGTGTGGACGACGCTGGTCGTGGATGGATGCGGCGCTGCGGCGGAAGCTGCTGTTGAGGCTATGCACCAAAGCAAGTCCTTGCGTGCCTCATTTCGCCGAGAGCAGGCGGTGCAGGTCCCGGGGCAGGAGGTGACTATCCCACTCATCACAGGCAGAGATCATTTCAGTAGCTAAGATTCAAGGGTCCGACGCTTCATAGCCAATGCGCATGTCATCTGCTCCGATGTAGGCGACGACAAGCGTTGTTGCGTGCGCTTTGTGGTTCGCCGCTGGACCACATACGCAGACGGATGTCATCATCAATGTTTCTGGCATTCCGTTTTTGAGGCAAGTTTGGGCGCAAAAGCTGCTTCCTATTCAGTTGCGGCCACACACCGCCAACATCCACGGGTATTCCAGAGTGGCCTCTGGAGATCCGCGAGACAGAAGGCAGCTTGCCTTTCCATGCTACGCCTGCTGACGGCAGTGCAACAAAGCGCAGGACAGGGCAAGTCTGCCTATGCCGTCAGCGACCTTCCCGCCAATCAAGTCCTTCTCGAGGCGCGGTCACGTTCGGGGAAGAATTGAGATCTAGGTGGGCCTTGAGGTAACGCCTGAAAGCTCGGCAGGAAGAGCCATTCTACACTCGAACGCCGCCAGGGGAGCTTCATGGCCGACCTGAGTGGGATGAGGCACATCTGTCTAGAAATTACAGGTCACGGTTTGAGGGTGCATAACTTGGGGTTTTGGAATCTTTGGTGCTGGTACGTTGTCGGCTGAGGACTGGAGTGCCGCCTTCACTCGAATCAAAGCGCCGATGCGTCTGCCTGGCGGGGAAAGTGACAAGGAAAAGCCTCTCCTAGTCGCCTGGCACTTGCAGCACAGCATTTCCGAAGCATACTGGTCATTCAGAAATTTTGGACAGAAGGCAACCTTGCCTCTGGCACTCTCTCCACAATGTAGCCACATCTAGTGTAATATTCTCCGGGTTGCGCGCCCTGCATGCCACTTAAGGCAAGTACCGCTCTTGTTCGAGACGTCCTGGGCTTCGTGAAGATGCCGGACAGTTTACGAGGCCGGCCAATTTGTGAGTGGCGGGTCTTACCCACATGCAAACTTGAAAGCTGTTTCAGTTCTGCTCTTTGATGCGGGTTCATTTTGTCGCGGTGGTGAGTTTCTATGATGACCCCACTGCGAGTCAGCATCAACAATCACTTTGTGAGCGTTCTTTGTTTTGGGTCACAGGAATGTCAGCAAATTGGCACAGCTCGAAGCGCTGCTAAGGTCACAGTCAGAGGTTGCAATCCTAGAGTAGTCATCAGTTCCCTCAACTGGTCATAGACATCCCTAACGAGATCCAGGGTATGAAGTAATTAATCTTATTTGCCTGACATTTCATGTTCAGCAATTGTGAGCCCCAGACCCGCTACAAGGATGACACTAAGTCAGGCGAGCAGTCCTTCCCTTTAGAATTGCCTTGCCATAAAGCCGCTGCTAGGTGCGTTGCTTTCCTTCAGCTTCCCTCGGCTGGACTTGGAGCATGGGCTCGTGGATGTCGCGCTGCAGCTTGCCAAACTCTGCAAAGACCGGCTGCCAGAATGCAAGGCTTGTGGGATGAAGTCGTCCCAGCGGCAGCAGGAAGAGCACGAAGAAGAGCACATGCAGAACGACGCATTTCACAGAATCAGATTGCCATGCAGTAAAAGCTATCACTGCTGAGTCATGCTGTCATGGCACTTTCACGTAAACACCTGCTCAACGCCTGCACGTGTAGAATATGCCACAAGATTGTGTGTCTGTAACTCTGCAACACCAAAGGTTCCAACATGCCATGTTTTTACAAGGGGCGGGCAGCGAATTGGATTGGTGTGACACGGCTCGGAGGCATTCGAGGTGGAGTGGTTGCAGACTGGAATCCTTGTGACAGAGATGCAGCTTGCTTGACTGAAATGGTTGGTGTGCATGTGTTTCGTCTGTTTGTAGATTTCGCCCTTGTCAAGGAATATCTTCCCTGGTGGCAGGATATTTTGGACCTTGAGTTGCCTGGCCAAAACTTGAAGGAGCAAAGATCCTCGGGAACTTACAGAACTTTGTCGATTTGTGCTTTTTGCAAGGCCGCATCAACCACAGTTGCGCCCCCAACTGTGTCTTCACCAATTCTCCTGGTCGCTGGGGTCTTCGCACCTTGCGACCCATTGCCAAGGGGGAGGCAGGGCTTCGGTGGATGAAGGTCTACAGTGCGCATTTGCCTTGGCCAGAGGAGCTTACTATCTCCTATTTGGGTGAAGAGCTGCTGCTACCTACCAGTCAGCGCAAGTGGCTGCTCTGGCGCTCCAAGTGTCTCTCGGCCCCTCATTGCCTTGTCGCCTCGTCAATGTCCGTCACTGTTGCCAGTGCTTGCTGCCCAAGCCTGTGAAGAGTCGCCAGGTTTCGTTTGCCAATGCCTGCGCTGCACCAGCACGGAGGCATGGCTTTCTGCTCACATGCTTGGATGGCACACAGAGGCCGCATCAAGGCCCCCAAGATTGGATTCTGTGTCAGGACCCCTTGAGGGATCGCGCCTGCGCCTGTCTTGGCCGGGCACCTCGAAAGTGGCACGTGGCCTCAAAGCAATTGGAGAGCTTGTGTGCAGAGTGGCAATACGGGAACTTTCAAGGCTTGTCTTTGGCTTGTCCTAGGTGGTGAACAAGCCTGCGGTCTGGCAGCGTGCTGACCCCTCGACCAAGAGCCGTGCTGTTGCCTTGTTGAAGGCCAGGTCCTGTGTAGGCATCTTGCCGAAGCCTCTGCAAAGTGGAGCAACGCATTTAAGTTGCGCCAAGCACTCTCAGTAGCGCTCGCATTTGGTGTTAGGAAGGCACCGAGTTCGACTCGACAGGGGAGCCTCCTGGTCTGTTTGACAGGGTGAACTTGGGATGTGTTCTTCTGGCAACAAGTGGATGTGATCCTTGCTGAGATCCTGTGCACTGAGCAGTTTATTTTGCAGAGATGAAGTTGATGTTCGTTCCCTTATTATGCTCAGAGTGTGAATCCCGAGGCTCAGGAGCACGGCTGAGGGCTTGTGGGTGCAGATCGAGGAGTGTGAGACAAATGCGTGACTTTGGCATACGATAATCTTTCTCCGGCTCTCATAACCTCAATCGAGGAGTTAGAGCACTGGCAAAAATGCAGTATGCTCGAGACAGTTCCAAATTCCAAATGCATTTTTCCTAATGAGGCAACATTCTGGATGGGTTTTGGTTGATGGAGCGGCGCTGGGCTTCTCGTCTCAGAGTCCTGTGATCATGACTGTCAGGCTGTCCTCTTGACTTGTGCTCAGGATTGGGTCGCCTGGTTGAGCCCAGCGAGGGCAAGCTGCCTCTGCCGCCGTCGCACGCCGGCATCATCCCAGGAGAGCTTCCCGGACAAACCAGTTGCGGTAAACATCTGCATATTTTTTACATCATCTGCATTTGCATTGTTGACTTGAGTTGGAGTTCACCCTTGAAAGCCCAGGTTGCGGAACCGCTTCCAAAAGCGGGCGCTTGGATCCCGACTAGGTCATTGCGCTGCAGGTAACTGTGCTGCAGAGGAAAGGATAGCCTAGCCCTGCAGGTGCAAGCGCCAATTGGTACGACCAGTACAAGCTGGAGAGTCATGTGCTTCCTGCGGCCAGCGCGGCTGCACGGTGGAGGCAGAACAGCGGCGACGACCAGGCGCTTCGCCTTCTTGGGCAGTTGGCAAGTAGGTATTCTGCAGCGCTTGCTCTTGTTGCTTTCTTCTGCCCATTGTCTCGGAGCTCATTTCAAGCTCCCTTCTCATGTTCCGAGGATCCAGGGAGTGAAGTTGGCCTCCCAGCCGGCTGGGCCCGACTCCAAGGGGAGCGATGGTGCTGCAGCTGTGGAGCAAGCACGGGAGCGATGGCTGCAGAGCCTCGGGCCAGGCCGAACATAGGATGTAGCGATTTCTCTTTATACTGTTATACAACTCCACAGGTGTCAAGGTGGAAAGGGGGAACCTAACTTACAAAGCATCCCCGTGAAAAACATTGACGGCCGTGCCACTCCGAGGAAAAGGAGTTGTCCGAAGTTGCTCAGCGGGTCTACGTGTCAGACTCAGTGAAGCAGAGCAAACTGCCGCATCTGCCGCAATCTCGACATCATGTCCGTCTAAGGCGCTGTCCCTGCCAGACCAGAAGCGGGCTTCGAATGCAGGAGTGCGAGGCATCTCTCAGTCTTAGCTGGTTGACGAGAGTCGATTGTAGTCTCGCAGGTCTGGCTCTGCCAGAGGAGAGTTTCGTCTTGTCAGCACTTCGCCCTCCGGTTGCATTTACTGCGCTATTTGCTGTCTTCTGCGCTGCAAGCCGGGTAGTCGTCTCACAATGTGGTCGGGGAGTCGTTTCTTGGTAGCAGGCTTGGCAGACGATGCAGGGAGTCTCTTTGGTCGGCGACACTGGATATGGCAGTGGGGCCAATGGACAAAACAAGCAGTTCTTTTTTAATGATGTCTCTCGGGTGCCATGGGACCCTTAGATGCATGATGTTGATATTCAAAGCTATTTTTTGTTTGGAGTCGGCTAGCTTTGAGGCCTCCTCTTTGCCGTGGACTTGGATCTATCCCTTGTCAGGCGTGGATTTTGCAAGCTTTGTAGTCAGCTAGGCCGTACACGAGTGGCGTAGTATTCAGAAGCCTCATGTGCTTGAAAGTGAAAAGGGATGTTCTTGACAGGTACACCTATATGCAATGGGATGCAGCGCTTGCTTCGGAAACCGCCGGGATGCTCCTCGAGGTTACCTGAAAGCACGGATGAGACGCCATCATTCTGACTTTGCCTGACGTAGAGTTCAGGTGTGGGATTGGCTTACTTCTCTTGGCCTTTCACAGGCGATGCTTGCACTTGTTCACATCAAGCTGCACTGTTCGATTTTCCGTCCCTTGGCAACTGCCTGCACCCACCAGGAGCCGTCTCTGTTTCTTCACAGCCGCGGACAGCGATTGGCAAAGGAAATGGAAGGGGTGACTCGTCAGGATTCAGAACGGAACGTGAGGCTGGCTCGGCAAGCAAGCCTGACCAGCTCTGATTAAAACAATTTAAAACATGTTTGGCCAAGGTGACACCCACCGGCAGTGCCAAGGACTCTACAGCTTTGAGCCGCAGGTTTTCACGCAAACAATCCCCTGCCATTCCTGAAGGAGCGCTTTCGGGAGCTACAAGTAGAACTCCGCAGACGGCTAGAAGCCTCAACTCCCTCAGTGCCTTGGATGGTCAAGTGCTGTCACAGGTTGCGACTGTCATCATGGGAGCCAATACACTAGAGCTTCATGCGCGTATCCTCTGCAAAGGTCAGTTTGCTTCCGCCTCGGGAATTCATCCCTGGAACCCTGTTCATTGCGCATTAGCGCGGTAGCTCTGCTGCCAAGCATTGCTCTGGATAAGAAGAGAAGTTTGTCTGTGTTCTTTCTGCAGAACATCTGCGGAGAGATCGGTGGCCCAAAGTGGCCTAGACGTGTCTATTGGGGGAGATTTTCCGCACAAGGACGGCCTTGCGCTTAGCGGTTTTGAGTTGCGCCTGTTCTTCAATGCCTCCCAGACCTTGTAGCAGTTGCAGACGTTCATGTATTGTCCTTATCTTTCCGTTGGATCTCTCTCAATAGCAGGTCAGATTCACCAGGAAGCATGAGTCATTTACATTGCATACTGTCTCGCCTACAGACTGCCTGTAGTTGTGCAGCATCATGGCAAGAAAGGCACACAAGGCGATGAAGGGCATGGCTGACTCGTGTGCACGTTTGCTCATTGCACTTCGATCGCTTCCTTGAATTCTGATGTCAACGCTTTCAAGTGCTCAGTCCTGTGTTTGTTAGGAGGCGTGCGCCATGCAAGCAGAGGCCTGCAGCGCAGTGTTCTTCATGATCTGGCAGGCATTTATTGCTGTTGCAGCGGTTGTGACCAATGTTGCGGCAGAAGAGGTGCGCGCTGTCAGGACCCTCTTGATCATGTGTATACATGTGTGTGGCATCCTTTGGCCAGGCTCGGGTGGACATGCACAAGCTTGTTGGGATCGAGTGTGGACAGGCCATGGAACAGCAGAGTGTGGACAAAGAAAAAAAATATGCCGGAGGATGCCCAGCGCGGTTTACAGCCTCAGGTGCGCCTCGCCGCTTCACATGTGGACTGGGCCCAGGAGCTGGCGGGGCTGGAGGACCGGGTCGTGAACCCTGGAGCTCATCCACAAATATGCCATGGGTCCTGTTAGGAAGGTTCATGTGAGTCATTGGGCTTCACGGAGTCTCGCGGGACCAGAGAGGCGGCATTTTTGTGCTTTCTGGGCCTCACACCAGGCTCATCCATCCATGTGCATTCCACGAGGTGTCCATTCCTTTGGTCGGCCAACTGGGCCTTGGCATCTTCCGAAAGCAAGGTTCTTAGATGTGCGCAGGAGCAACGTGATATTCGCTAGATACCACAGTAGTGGTGGTCCTTAGTCTACACTTGAACGCTTCAACCCCACTCCATGAGTAAGCAAGTGATGCTGTTTGTATGCGGAGGCCAGATGTTCTGGGAATTGCACAACAAGTGAGTTGAGAGCTGAGATTCGGCTGCGAGCGCACGTGTCCCGTTAAGGTGCGCTCGCAGTTGTTTGACTCAGTTTCTGAGACTACTTTTGGCAGATTTCTGCAGCCAAATACTCTTGCGATTATCATCATTCGCGTTTGTTTGATGATCGGGAGCACGAGGAAAGTTTGTGTTGCCACCACCCAAGCCAATGCTTGCGCGATCCCTGTTTGCATGTTTTCGTGAGTCATCGCTAACATGGGAGTTGGACTTGCGTGCTCTCGCATTGAAAGCAAATCATCGTACAAAGTGGTTACGGATCAGTCTCTGCTACTAAGCTGGTCATTGTTTGGCTCAGTCCGTATACTAGTAGTATGCCTCACGGTATATGTTGTGTGCTGCCTCAGTACAACCACATCACAACCGCTGCTCGCTACTACCATTTAGGACGGTGCGCTGCTGTCACAGCCAGTAGTGATACACCTGATTCTGTTGTTGCTGCTGCTGCTGGCAGGTTGTTGGTGCTGCTACTAGAATGACCACTGCAACTACTGCCACTGTGTTGCTACTGGGACGCATGTCAATTGGGAGTCAAGGTGAGCAGCTGAACGGCAAGCCCGCCTCGCGAGGCAAGGTACAGCAACGCTTCACCTACAAGAAACTTGAGCTCAAACTGGTTCATGCAAAACACCCATCTCGAAGCTGCAGCAAATTAGCACATGGTCGCAAAACTTCTTGGACTGCAAGCCTTGCAAGCGGACTTCAAGGGCACAACCAGCTCCCACAAGCTGAAGCCGCTAACCCCTAACTATGAACCCTCGGGCCCTCAAATCTACCTCCTGAACTCTCGAACTGCGGAGGTTCGGCTTGCTGCGAAACCTGCGGTGAGGGCCAAGAGAAGTACGTCTCAGAGTCCGACGCAAGCTGCCAAGAGGCCTTGGCCACTGAGATTAGAGACGCCGCTTCTAGCAGCAAGTGAAAGAAAGTAAGCAGACTGTATGGTACCATTGGGTTATATTGGGATAGTGGAAAATAGAATGGAAACTACTATAACGGAGAATCAAATGGAAAAGCAAATGAAAAATGAAATGGAAACCCTAGGGATAGTAGTTTCCATTTTCTTTTCCATTATCCCAATATAACCCCAATATATTATCGTAGTCTCCATTTGCTTTTCCATTATCCCAATATAACCCCAATATACCATAGTAGTTTCCATTTGCTTTTCCATTATCCCAGTTATTGATAGTTTGCATGAGCGGCCTTAGCGTCTCTTCGTAGGCCTGCCTGAGCTTGGCTATGCGCATGGGCCTCTCCTTCTCGGGGTTGCTGGAACTCGGTCCGCAAGAAGTTGGTGGTATATCCATGGGGTGCTTTTTCTTCATCCTTGGGTAGTTTTGTATTAGCGTGATAAATTGCAGAATGCTTTCCTGACTGATAGAGGTTCGTTCTAGCAGCTAGGAGGCATAGCTGAGCTCAATGCGTGCCGTTTCGCATCCGTTTGAATTTCCGCTCTTCTGCTTCTTGCTTGTCACAGAATTCTCATGTCCCCAGGATCCGTCTTTTCAGCCCGCGAACGGCCGCGGATGCCTAGAGCGCCAGTTTCCGGTTCTCAACGCAACCCTCATGAAGGTGGCTGGGCGAGCCTTGCAAGATGTCCTTGATCTTGCCCGAGCATAGTCAAGAAGGATGAGATGCTGGGACACGTTTGAAAATACCTTTCGGCTGTCCAGCAAAGCCGTTCAAGTCTTAGAGCTGTCTTCACTGTACGTGCTTGAAAGATGGCAGTCCTGGTGCAGGGCGTGGAGCCTGCGTCCTTCAGCTGGGATGTGTACAGCCGTCAGCCAGCCAACACAGTGACGCTGCGCAAGGCCAGGTCAAAGGGTATCCAATGTGTGGAGTCCCCAAGCAGTATATTGAGCCGGTTTTATGGAAACACAGCGGTTGTGCTAAGCGCAGTCGTTCACATTACACCTCGAAAGCGGTCTGTCCTCCCTGTGCTGCCAGGTGGCGTTTGGTGTGTGTGGTGCCTCGGCGATGCTTCAAACCTCTGTGAGGTAATATTGGAGTGGCATAGGCACGAAGCATGGCAAGATACAGGTGTTGGAGGATCCCCAAACCTGCTTCCTCAGTGCTTTAAGTGCAGTCTGATAGTTTTTGTTTCATTGACAAGCCTGAGGTGAGCTGGCTCTTTCAAACTCAGAGGCAGAGACTTCCTTGAAGCTTCCGCCACCCGGCGTCATGGGACAGAAAGGGCAATGCTGCCTGCTCTACTTGGGCAGCCATCATAATGCGGCAAGCTACAAGAGCGTGAGCCAACCTTTTTGTCGGGAAGGGCGATGAGAACAGGAGTTGCGTGGTCAATTTGCCTCAAAGTGTCTCAAAGCCTCACTCTAGCAACATGGGCAGCACAAGTCAGGATTGGCCTTGAGACGGGCACCTGTGTTTCTGCCGGCTATGCGGAAAGTGCTGGGCAGCAGCCATCGCCTCAACTGTTTCCCCGGAATCTTTTGGGACAAATTTGTCCACTGCCAGGGAAATCCCGGGCCTTCCTGGCAAGGAACTTGCCCTCTTCCGCAAGGCTTCTGCATGCGAGTCTGCAAGAGATTCAGCTGTGCAGAAGGCAGATGCCTTGAAATCAGGCTGGGGATCTTGATGTCCTGGACGGTCTGCACATGGTCTTTGCCGCCATCACTCAGGCCAATGCTTCTCAATGCGCTTGTCGCTAGAGCAGCAATATAACCCTAATATTACCCCCGTATAACCCCAATATGACCCAAATACAACCCCAATATTACCCTAATACTACCCCAATGTTGGACCTGTGGAGGACACCGTCAAGATGTTCAAAGTGGTCGGCAGCCTCTGCTCGGAAGCATCCGTCGACAGGACTTTCATATTAATTTTATTGGAAGGGATGTTCCTCTTCTGCGGATAGGTTCGGAGGTGAGATTGTCATCTATTCTTATTAAGAAAGCTCACATGCCACGGAAGGAAGTTCCAGACTTCTCTGCAGAACTTTGGCCAGTTTGAGCTGGGCTCATGCCAGGACAGGGCCTTCGGTTAGTAGCATGTCGGAAGGTTCATGTGATTGAACACTTCAACATAGCCATCCAAGCCGTCTTCGCCCGCCCTGCGTGTCCTTCTGACATCCCTCTGGACCGCCCCTAGCATTATCTGGACGATCAAATCATTGCGAGGAGCATGGCTATAGCATCGCCGCTGGAAGCCAGTCTTTTAGCATCCCGCTGCTTGCGGAGGTCCAGTTAGCGCTCTACCATAAGGCCTGCCCTTTCTTCTTGACCCGCGCTTGAAACATTGGGGGCTATGTGCACAAGCTTGACAGCCCTGTAGTGTCATTACTACAGGTAACGATACGCGTAACAATCAGTCACACGAGTTCAGCTAGTGTCGGGAATGATTCGTGTTATGCACATTCTGCGCCGAATCTTTCAAGCTCCTCAGGGTGCAGCCACATGCCTCCCTGCCGGGCTGCCAACAAAAAGCCAATAAACTCTTCGCATTCTGATACACTGATACACCATGTTACACCATCTTAAAGCCCTGATCTGATCCTGGTATAGCATCGTACGCGTCAGCCACGTCCACACCAATGTTCTGCAGGGCATCCCGGGCATGAACTTTGTCGTGTGAGAGGACGAGTCCATCTTGCTCGCCTTGGACGCCCAGTTGGCAATTCAGAAAAGTGGGGCCGTGAGGGCTGCTCCAGCGAAGCTTGAGAAGCTCGTGACCTCTGAATTTTCGCATCTTTTGTGCTTTCAAACAGCTATGTCATGACAGGTAGGTATTTTGTTATTCAGCTGTTATTCAACAAATGCTGGGAAGACCAGTGAAATCCGTCTCACCCTTTTTTGGCAGTCCAGAAGCGTCTGCTGAGTCAAAAAACAACCCAGTTTGCCACCCGGGGTCGTGGTTTGCAGGATGTATACAGGGGTTGTTCCGTGGATTTTTGTTGATCAATGAAGTTCACACGGGCTGTACGAGGGTTCCGAGATTGTCCAACATTGGCACGCCAGAATCTCTGTTTGAGTCAGAAGGCTTCTAAACGGCGCGGCTGCAGGCAGTATATCACGGCCTAAGCACAGGCTGGAAGGCATTGCATATCATAAGCAGCTTCTTTTCGAAAGCTACCAATATGGCCAGACTTCCAATCTGAACCCTAAACCCTAAATAACCCCATTATAGTAGTTTCCATTTTCTTTTCCATTATCCCTATATATACCCATTATGGTAACTTAATTTAAGGTTTTCAAGCACGTTGGATGCGTCAGCTAGTGGGATCCCAAGACGCTCCTTTTCAGTGCGTGAGTACAATTGTGACATTCGCTGTTTGCTCTTTGGTAGATTGCCAGCAAGGAGTTTTCTTGTAGCATAAAGAAGCTGAGGCTTGTGAGAATATTTCGTATTTTATGTACTTGTTAAGGTTCAGGCTTTGTCTGACTAAGATATGTGCCCTCCGGCTCAATGCTGCTGCGCCCATAAACAGCAACACTATCTACTCACACTATGTTGCTGCTGGAAAGATGGGAGGAACCGATGATGTTTGTTCAGCTGTAATCGAATCTCTTCACTACAGTGATTTCAGACGATGGAGTGCTTTTTCCTTCCAACAGATCTCAGGAATTTGAAGTCTTTTCTTGTTTCTGTTGGGTTGGGTGAAGACATGACTGCTTCATGGTTGCCCTGACTGTCTAACGGGCCCCGCGCGATTTCTCCATGGCGGTGGAGAGCATGGCTCAGGCACAGCATGCACCAAGAGACTGTGCCGGGCAGGGCACAGGCATAAGCTATTGTGCGCAATACAGCTCACTGTTGCAAGGGCGGCAGCGCCGCTGCGCAAGCCCCTGCGCCGCCTCGCAGCAGGCCAGGCCCTGGCTGAGCGTGGAATTCTGGAAAGCCATCTTGTCCTGACCATCGTGAAGCCATGTCACATGAAAGGCCTCCCCTAAATCAGTCTCGCAACATCCGAGCAGCTCGTTCGTCGTTCGTCATCCATGTGCAGTTCTGTTCTGCAGGTGGCTGGACGGTACAACCAAGGGCAAGGACGTCGATGCGCGAAGCGCTGCTTGACACCAAGTGGCTGGTATGCGCATCTGCTCACGCTAGGCTATGCTGGACGTGCCCGCATGCCAAGCATCCATCTTGAGAGATGTTTGTGTCAACTTTGATATCGGGCTGGTCCGTATGTTATGGTTCAGCAGCCCATCAAATGGTACGAAGAGCATTCCTGGTGTCAGTAGCCCTTGCTCACCTTGAAACCTGCCCCGCCTTGTTAGGGCTTTCAAGCCAGGGCCAACCCCCAATCCTCTTTTTGGCACAACCTATCTTGTCATATCACCAAAAATTCAACAGATCCTATAGGTTGATACAGCGGCGACGTCGCAGACAGAGAAGAAGGCGCCCCTGCACTGCATTCCGTTGGCACACCAGATCTCTCGCCTGCATTCGAATGCCTCGCTTCAGGAGCCAATTAGCGTGCCTGTGAAGGCAAAGCCCAAAGGCACCAGTGAGATATGGTCTCAAGGTCAACAGTTTGGGGCGTTGTCGCTTGTGTGAAAAATCTTCACCAACCATTCTTCTTGCAAGCTATCGGAAGAACGCTGCCAGGCCCGCCTGAGTCCCTTGGCCTTGACGTCGATCCGTGGGAGGCAGATTACTGAGCCTCCTTGCTCAAGTTACCCAGCAAACATTGGCAGCTCTAGCCATAATTGCTCATTGCCAGTGGTCACGGTTAGGGTTTAGGGCTCTTTAGCGTTTTTTTGGAGGTTATATTGGGATAATGGAAAAGAACATGGAAACTACTACAGTAAGGTATGTATACGGGTTATAATAGTATTTGCTTGCATCTTGAGCTTTTGAAGTTGCGGTGTGGTATGGCGGTGTCAGGGCAAGACGCTCCCCAGCCCGAAAGCTTCAGATGCCACGACAGGCCTCTGCCTGCATATTATCGTATATTCTAATATATTATAGTATATTATAATATAGCAGATAGATTATAGTATATTGTGGTATACGGTATTCAAAGCGGAGTTGGTTTCGAGGTAGCTATGCGGTTGCTGGCTGACAGGACGTGAGTGGGATGACTTTTTCAACGCACCAAGACCTGCCGAGGCATCCTAATAGTTACAATAAGGTTTAGGGTTTAGGGTTTAGGGTAATAATAGTGATAGTAAATAGTAATCATAGTAATAGTACCGTGGATGGACAAAATCGTGCATGACCTGATAGGTCCAAAGCACGCAATTGTCAGCGATCGAGCTCCCCCTGCCCCTCTAATTTCAATGTTGCTAACGCATACGGGTCATGCAGGATTTCGGTCATTCGCGCACGTGACCCTTTAGACTATTTTGGGGTAATCAATATTAAAATTCAGGGTTGGCAGGGATGGCTCGCGGAAGAAAACTGATGCAGGATTGGGTCCATCAACAGTAGTAATAATAGCGCATGATTACTACTATTACTATCAGAGATCTGCAACATGCATGATGTGCTGGTTTGCTCACTTCATCTCGCATAAAATATGTCAGATGCATTCTGTAATTTTCTGCCGCATGAGAAGGGCAGGAGAACATTTGAACTTCCAAGCTTGATAATGAAATGCAATCTGAAGTGACTGGCTTGCCATGTGATTGTGCCTGGCATCACCACTTATACTTGGAAGTTTCCCCAAATTACTGTTCCCAAAATGGGGGAAATGTATATAGGGCCCCGTATTATAATAGGAACCCAAATATGGGACCCCGTATTGATAGTAATTTAGGACAATGCCCACTTGCAGGGGCCTGCAGAAGCAAGAGGCTGGATGCGGGAGATGTCTGTACTCAGATGTGACTTCGTAGCCATGCCTTCCATAATAATGAGCATGTGTAATTATGTGCTGCAAGGATCTGCAAAGGATCATGAGCTCTGGAGAAAAGCAGTGTTCAACGAGATTCCACTAATCTTGACGTCTGCCAGGTGGTTCTGAGTATGAGGCCTGACCACAGTCTGAATATTGGCACAAGCATGGGGTGATGCCGTGAATTGGGGTTATATTGGGGTTATATTGGGTCATATTGGGGTTATATTGGGATAATGTAAAAGAAAATGGAAACTATTGTAATTGGTTATACATAGGTGTTATACAGGGATAATGGAAAAGGACATGGAAACTACTATAGTGGGTTAAGTGGCATGAGGTGCGGAGTCGGCGGCAAGGTGAGGCGCTTAGCTGACTCCACAAAGGCTTATATAACCCCTATGTATAACCCATCATAGTAGTTTCAATTTTTTTGTTTCCGTTATCCCTATATAACCCCTATGTATAACTCTACCGTAGTTTCCATTTTTTTCCGTTATCCCTATGTATAACCCATTATATTAATTTCCATTTTCTTATTATCCCTATCAGGCCCCGATGTATAACCCACTAGTTTCCATTTCCTTTTCCATTATCCCTGCATAATACCTATGTATAACCAATTATAGTAGGTTCCATTTTCTTTTCCATTATCCCTATAAAACCCAAATATAGACCCTATATAACCCTATAATATGGTAGTTTCCATTTTCCTTTCCATTATCCCTATAAAACCCCAACATGCTATATGACCTTCAGCTTTGGACTCATGCAAGACGGCCTGTAGCGAAGGCGAGCCGTTCAGGGAAGATCGGCGGTCATACAACAGGAGCTTCTGCCACCAAGCTTCTGTGGAAGGTTTCCAAAGTGCAATTCCTTGGAGAGAGATATGCTGAGAGGCATCTTCACATGAGGCAATCTAAACGGCATGAGAAGCTCCAGCAGCAGGCTTATAAAAGTGTTGGGGGAATGCTTCATTCCAGGATCACGTTCTCCCGTGCCTCTGGGCGGCGTGAGCGATGTGGAGGCTGTCACTGCGTGGAAGCAAAGCTTCAAGCAGTAGAGTCGCATGCGATTTTGACACTAGGCGCTTTTTGTAATCTTTGTTGAGCAATGTACCAGGTGCTGCACTTGTGTAAGTTTCCTATGGTGATCAGATGTTTCCGAACAAGGGCTACAGGCAATGCACATGCCACATGCAGGTCCAGACGATGAACGCATCTCGCACTGCCACAGTCTCAGCAGCACAGGGGAGACCTACCATACCCCAGTGTGGATCGTCGTAGGTAGGGTAAGAGCTTGCCGTGGTAGCAGCCGAAGCTGTCAGGGTGCAGAATCCTTCCGCCAAAGCGTGGTAAGTGCACCTTCTCTTCCGTAGATGCCCTGCGCACTTTCGTGACAGGCGTTCTTGTGGTACGGCGTTGATCTGTGGAAGCTTGACTTCTCCAACTGTGCTACCAGCTGAGTCCTGGCCGCGTGGCTTCGATACCACATGGTGCTTTGCCCAGCAGGTTGATTTGTGCCTGCCATGGCAGAATATGCAAAAGGAGAGATTTGCAGGCACATGAGGGCATGCTTCAGAAAGCTGAGGATGAGGCAGAAGCCAATGAGGGCTGGATCAGTCTGCCGGGGCCCTACTGTTGGTGTTACTGTGTCTTAGAGTTAGGTCAATCGGTACGGATACTGATGTACTGTGCTTGTGAGGAGCGCAGTGCTCTCCGAACCGGAGCTCCAAGGAGCTACCGAGGAGGACGCTCGTGCTGCGGTTGCGAAAGATGGACCTTCAGTGAGGCTAAATATGTCAAACTGCGCCGCTCAGGACGTGAAGCGTGTGGTGCTCTACTCCCGGAGCAGGCTGTGAATTTGGGTGTGGGCACATGTGCTTTGCAGCATCTTGCTGAAGCTGTGAAGCGGAGCAGCTTGTGAGCCCTTCCCAGCTAGAGCACAGAGCACTTGGTTGGTGTGTATCAGCGTGATGTGGCTTTGGTCATCAGCTATTACTTTCTTTGCGCCGACGAGGATCGGCCGTCGTTTTGAGCTGCGGGAAGTTGAAACCCGGCTCAAGAGCAGTGCTTGTACCCTGAGTCGGACATGTCTCACGAATATAGGACTGCTGGGCTGTGTGTTAAGGAAACGGCAGAAGGCACCACGAACGTGGACATTCGGGCAACCTACAAACATGTAGACAGTGCAGGAGACTCAGAGAACAGGCTGGCAAGGCAGGTCTAACGATGGGATGACCTTTCCAATGCCAGGATTACACTGTTGATTCCATCCCAGGAGCCGCGAGGCCGCTCTCGCTTGGGACCCCGAGGCCCTGACATGCCTTGACCATTCCCGGGCATGGAAACAAGGCTATTCATGCAATTTCGCCTGACTGGGTGTGCGGATGCAGACAGGCCGTCGCGCTAACTACGCGGACTTTGACAGCAGGTCGGGCTATGCCCAGGAAACGGGCTGCCAAAAACACGCGGTTTCTTTGCGATGAGGCCTCGAGATGATGGTTACCCCCGTTGCTCTGGGCATGAGTCTGAGGGGCTAACAACATCCCGGAATCGTGGTCAGGTGCTTCTTCCTTTCGTTCTTGCGGTATGACCGACTCTGTCGTAAGGTTTTGTCTTCTTGCGATTTTGGAACCCCCAAGCGTCTTCAGCTTCTGAGGTTCTCCAGCTCGCCAACAGAAGCGAATGAGCAGGCGCAGCCTTCAGTCCCTGGCATCTATGGTCTGCCCTCAGCCATACCCAGGTTGACGCGGACAGCCTCGTTGAGGTGAAGAGCTTCGCCGAAGAGGCCTGGACCTAAGCAGCTCCAGCGCTGACTCTAAGAATTATACAACCCATTGGGAGGTATATATTGGGGATAATGGAAAAGAAAATGGAAACTACTATAGTATAATAGGGTATATATTGGGTTATATTGGGGTTAAATTGGGATAATGGAAAATAAAATGGAAACTACTATTTTGGGTTCTGGGGTCGCGGCTGGTACTTGGCCCTGAAGCTCATGGATCAACTCAGTTCATTGTTCTGGCTAGCTGCTCCAAGCGGAAGCTGTCCTGAATCATGCAGGTGGGTCCCGTGCGACATTTCAACCTGTCCCCAAGAACTTCCGAGAGAGAAGAGGTGCCATAGGGTGTATGCCCTTTAGAAGATGCAGGGTGCCTGCTGGTTCGCATAGAGCAGTTCTCTGAATAACCTGCATTGAACATGCAGAGTGAAAGAATGACAGGAGCGCTACGAGATCGAGGCCGGGTTACCCAAGCTCTTGCCGGCGCTCGAAGTAGTGGATTGCTCAGGAAGAGTTTGCGGTCTTCACGGCAGGCAGGGAGTTGGGTGTGCCTTGGCAAGCAGATTTATGCATCAGTAGTGCTGAGCAAGGCAAATCCCAAGAAGTGTCGTCGGAAACGAAGGTCCCCCTAAGCTGCACTCTCATCCTGCACGGGGCTCCAAATAGCACAGGCACACGCGGATGCGAAGACTCTTCCTCTTCAGGAGGCCCTGGCGCTTTGTTCCTCTAACGCAGTGCCCATAGCCTGAAGTGTTTTCGCTCCTGCCAACTGTGTGCCAAGGCCCTGAAGAGCGGGGCCGTGGCAGCCGCTTCCGACGCGCACGGGCCCCGCTGCTCCGAAGTCTCATGTGGGAGATTGGCCGCAATTTGTGCTGGCTTTGTCTGCTCCAAGGTCTGCATCCACAGCATCCACTGCATCAGCGCAGGAGGAGGCCTGGAGTTGAGAGGTGGAGGGAATCTGCAGGTTTCGTGCTCTGTGGAGGTCTGGGAGCGCTGGTTGGAGCCGGAAAGTTTTCGCGTCTGGTTCTGGAACCCTTCCACCGAGGAGGCTGTCTGGAATGAAGCAACCCCTATTGCATCATGTCTGCCCTCCACAATCCATGTTGGCTCTGAAGCTCCTTCCAAGCAGAACGGTGGAGAACGTGGTTGTATGGTTGACTGCATGGCAGCATGATCCAGGACTGCTGCTTTGGCCGCAGGCTGCTGAAGGATAGAGTCCTTAGCAACAACCACGCCTCATGCAGACGCGACTTTCCTTGAAGAGTAGTTGTTTGGCAGCAAGAAGAGCCATATTCTTGCAAGAAGCACTCCGTAGCAATCCTTAGCAGATCCCTGGCCCGCTGACAGCCATGGACTCCCTACCGAGCTGGGTGTTGAAGGCATGAGAAGTCCTACATGCACGGAGAATTGGACTTGTGGCCTCCCAAAGAGCACTTGTTTGTTTTACGCGGGCTAGAGGCCGCGTAGGGACTTAAACAGGGATTTAGTTCTCAGAAAGCCATGTACATTTGGATCTGACCAAAGAAACCCATGAAGTCCGCCTCAGAATCCCCATGCACTTCGTCCATGGATGTATCGAAAGCGGTTTGTATTTTGCTGATAAATCGATAGCACACCCCCCCCACCACCCCCAAATACACAGCTAAAGATGTGTTTTGGAGGGTTCCAGGTCAGATTGAGAGGTCATGGTAATGTTGAGAAACTGCCAGGTGTCAGTTGCCTCGCTTGGGGCCGTGGCTGTGCTCGCACTGCTGAGGCGGCAGCAGCTGCAGGCTCGTGCCTTAGGGTCCCGTATTTTAATTGACGATTTGGGTTCAGAGTTTTGGACCTAGGATGTAGGTGTTAGGGTTTTCTGTAGCATTTGCGTTTCAGGTTTCGGCATCTGGCCTTTGGGTTTTAGAGTGTGGGGTTCAGTTCAGGGTTCAGGGTTGAGGATTGTCCTTTTTCCCAGAGGACGAACCTCTCCTTACCTTTGATGTGAAGTGCTCCCATTCTCATGTTTTGGGTGAGTGGTGCCCGAGTGACCCCCAACGAAACACATATTCTTGTGTCGGCCTACTTGTGCCTGCCTCGAGCCCATTCGAACCCATTGTAGAAAAACCCACGGGATGCAGTGTCTTCTCAACTTCTCGATATTTCTTCCTCCCTTTCGCTCTGGCATGCTTAGGATTTCTTGCACCTGGACCTACTGTGACCAGAGCATCCATGCCCAAAGCTTAATTCCGTTCGTGTTCCAAGAGCACACAGTGACCCGAGCATCCATGCCCAAACCTTAATTCTGTTCGTCTTCCAAGAGCATATGGTGACCAGAGCATCCATGCCCAAAGCAAATTCCGCTCTTCTTCCAAGAGCATACGTTGAGCGTTCAGAGAAAATAACACACTCGTCGCAGCACTTTTGCTGCTCTGCAATTTGTTTTCCTGCCTCGACCCCAAGTGTAGGCTTTCGAACTTGTCGCAGAAAAAATCACTCGGTGCAGTGTTTTCCCAAGTTTACGACTCTCTTCAAAGCGGTCACAATATGCCATTTCCTTTTTGCAATAGCTAGCCCAGCACCCTCAAAAAAGTGACCCGTCTGTCGGTTTGGCGCATGCCACACTGTAGCCCCATGTACCAAAAACCAAGCTGAAAACGCGTTTTCATGTTTCTTGACGTGCAGATTACCAGGGGTCGTTCAAGCTCGACTTACCATGTTTTGCGGTTGTTTGGGAATGATTGGTGAGACCCGCGTACGGAAGCACGTCCACAAATGACCGAAAACCAATGACAACAAGAGCACAGGAAAACAACATCAGTACTAGCAAAAAAACAGTATTCAAAATGACCATAAAGTGGGAGGTTTAGCAAAGCTTTTTTTAAAGCTTCGTTTCGGCCTTCAACTCGTCAAGCTGCAAGCTCTGGTTGGGAAATGCAGTTTGGACGCGCGCTAGTCGTATTTTTTTGGGGGGTTATGGTACCCAAGATAGAGCAAGATTACATCCTCCTTTTGGGGTATAGTATTCAATATAAGGAATATAATCTTACTGGGTTCAACCACCAAGAAAAACCCTACTCACGTGAGCTTTATTGAAGCTCATCTGGAGATATCAGTTTCCATGCTGTTGTTCGTGCAAGTGCCCCTTGCCTTGGATCTTTGATGACCCAACGGAGGCCAAGATCAAGGAGACAGAGGCAGGACTATCGCCCTTTGATTGCAGATTGATTTTTTGAGACTTTCTGGATGCTGAGTCTGCGCCCCAGCAGGGGTTCGTAATCTCAAGCAGTAACCTTGGTACCAGTAACCTTGGCTGCGGCTGGCATTGACAAGTACGAGCAGAACAAACCTTCACAGGCATACATTGCAGATGTTCATTCCTGGAGTCAAGGCAAACTGCCACACCCTCTCCGCCAGCCCCTGCGTCAGCTCCTGCAAAGCCAAAGGCGGGTTTTGTGAGCATGTGGTGTCAGCCCCTTGTGTGCGCAAGGGCGGGCACAAGAATTCGCCAAGCGAGGGTCTTATCCTGTAGAATCCTGTGCACCAGTTTACGGATGTATGGGCCACAACTCCACGTGTGGAAGACGGCGCCGCGTGCGGGCGCTGGTCAACCCTCATATGGAATGAGCACCAAAAGAGAATGTGAACTCCTACGTTCCTGTGTTCTTCCAATAACCTCTTTATACTACACCCCCTAAGGTTCAGTTCCTGTTTACTTAACTTTCTCAACTTTCATAGCGGAACTTTGGGTGGGGATAGTAAATAGGTGGTGGTGCTGGTGGTGGTAGTGTCACTGTGTTGCAGCCCAACCAGGAAGAGGTGGCGCTTCAGGCTGCGAAGGCCGGAGAAGCAGAACCAGAGCTCCCATTGTAGAAGCACATAGGGGCCACCTGGGTATGTAATGCTCACGCATATGCGCATCTGCATTTACACTTATATGCGTGCATGCACGGGGTCGCACGCAGAGCGGTTCTCAAAATCATAGAGCCATTCTGTTGGGCAGTTCTTGCACGAAGCACTTGGGTTCTAGTGGGGGCGTTACTCTCAAGAAATACCCATATCCACAAGACACTATGATCTCCTTGCCCTGCAGGCTTCGGGGCTGGAAGGCAGCTTGACTGATTGAGGTCACCAATATTAGTCATCTACATTTCGACTAGCCAGTCTGAATCGATATGTACCAATCATTGCTTCTTGCCCATGCCCTCTTAGTGCCGCGCGCTGACTCTGGCGAGACAAAACCCTAAACCCCAAATAGTAGTTTCCATTTTCTTTTCCATTATCCCTACTTTAACCCAATAAACTGTAGTGGTGTCATTTTTTTTATTATCCGTACTATAATATAACCCACTCTAGTATTTTCCATTTTCAATTCCCATTATCCCTAAACCCTAAACCCCAAACCCTATAGTAGTTTCCATTTTCTTTTCCATTATCCCTATAAAGAGCCCTCCACAACAGCTCTAGTATATTATAGTATATTATAGATTATAATATATTACAACACACTAGAATTATAGTATATACTATAATATACCACTGAGGTATCGCTGCTCAGAAGGCTGCCGCCATGGCCGTGAACGGCCAGCAACCGGGCGCCCCTGACCTCAGCATCCCGGCAAGACTTGGGGTCCTTGAGACCCCAATATAGGTTATGTGGGTGGTTGTCAATTAGGGTCCCTTTTTGGATCCCTATTAGAATACGGCACCTAATATTTAGGGTACCCAAAAAGGGACCATAATTTTGACAACCACCCATATAGGAATGGTAGAGAATCAAATGGAAAATGAAATGGAAGCTACTATATACAGGGTTCTATGGGGGTCTTTGAGGGCTCAGTTGCTCTATATCTATTGGGGTTATATGGGGATAATGGAAAACAAAACGGACACTACAATAGTATATTGAGGTTATATTGCCTCCTGTGCTGGCCCAGGCAGGCTTGCATAAAGGGTTTGTCAAGCTCACTGTGGGCGGCAACCACTTTCATGGTTTGATTTTGTAGTTGCAAACTAAGCATGAGTACGCTACCGACATGCTGGTCAGACATGCAGAGATACGCAATAGTGCATCCTCCGCGTTCAGATTTGGGGGCCAGTGCTTGGGGGTGGCTATCTTTGCCCGAGCCATGGTAATCGCATGTAATCGACGTGCTTGCCACCCCCTAGTCAGAAGTGCCAATCGTGATGACACTTCCTTCGCATGCTTTCTTTCATGGGTGCAACGACGATCATTTTGAGGAGACTCGGGTACTCCTTCAAGGGCACTGAACCATGTGTGTGTTCACGGAACTGTTGCTGGAACGCTTCTTCCCTCGGAGTTTTTTGTGCACAGTTTGCGGCCGCTGCAGTACTCATTGTCATATTCCGATATGTTGCCTGAGTACTTGGACGGGGTTCTGTAAATTTATAAGCTTTGTTGAGGAAGGGCACCTGTCAGCATACTTCCTAGAAGCTGCAAAAGGCAACCTTTCACAACATCATGGCATGAATGGTTCTCCCGGCATTCATGAGCCCGATGACTTGAATTGTCTTGGTACTTTATCTGCAATGCAGGATTCGCCTGGTGCATCGCCCCACTACAGTTTATGTAGCGCACTTGCGGTAGCAAAGTTCAAGCCCAGATCTGCTGTTCTGTGAGCCCGGCTAGCCTCGTGCTGAGGCATTCCGCTGGAGAAGGTGCCTGCATTGAGCGGAAGCAACAGCAATGGTTGTAGCATTCTAGGCGAAAAAGTGTTGCCTCAAACATTCCATGTATGAGTTGCACAGAGTTCTGCCAGGACATTGAAAGACGCCTTAGGGAAAAGTATGCTCCATCGTGGCTTGACTTAATCCCGGGATCAGGAGGGGACGGCTTCCAGTGCTGCATGTGGAAACATGCAGACAGACTGTTGTCGGTTGTTCCGCCAGAAGTGCACCCATCACTCACAGGTACCTGGACGTTGAAGATCAAGGTCTCTTGAATGCAGAATAACAGCATAACACTAATTAGGAACATGCGCCGGACTGTTGTAGCTCGCACATCAACCAATGAGAGTTGATGCGGCTGGCCATGCGAGCTCACTGCACTGTTGAAGGCTTTGCAGCATGCGTTGCTTAAGCGCTTCGGGGGTTCAACTGAGGCGGCAATTGCGGCGCTCTGAAGGCCTGCGGTCTCGGGCGGAACGGAGTCGACGATTCAGGTCCATCTATGTCTTTCTCAGCTCAGGTGGCCATAGTTATGGTCAGCGAGGCCTGCGATCATAGCTGAAGAGACTCTGCTTGCGTTGGTTGTTTCCTGCATGGAGAGCTTTCAGCTGCTGGCAAGGCATTCCAGGGAAAGACCCGCGTGAATCGACAGCGCGAGGTGCAGGCACTCCTTCGTCGGGGCCATCAGATTCAGTCGAAGCTTTCTAAGCTCTGTGAAGTGCGAACAAACAGCATCAACAGACGATACAATTCAGGAGAGGACCTGGATTCGGGCCGGGTTCATGCGCTGTCGCTGATGCTGAAAACACCCGAGGAGCCATTGAAGCGATGCTTGCGGCAATCATTTTACCATGGCCGGTTGCTCGTGTGCAAGTACACACGTGACCGATCCGTGCGGCAACTTTTGTCAAGCCAAAGGTGTGTGCATTTTTGTCTTGTAGCACACTTGTGTGCGCATGAACATGGAGCAATCGGGCGCGCACCGCAGCCTGATTGCTCGAACCGCCTTTTTGTGCCCCTACTTTGTTGTCCTAACCGCCTGAGCCATGGCGGCCTCAGACAACTACGCAGCGGCGGCCGCTGATCTCCGCCGCCTGGCGGCCTTGGACGAGGCGACCCTCGGGGGCGCCCTCGCCTACATGGGCCGGGAGCCCTTCCGCCGCCTTCGTCGGGCGGTGGGACGCACCCCAACGCCCGAGCCTTCTGATGACGAGGGCGGCAGTGCCCCGCTGGGGCGCAAGCTTCGAGCTCCCCCTACCGCCTGGACCCGGCGGTGAACGCCGAGAACCAGGTCACCGCCTCGTCCGAGGCGAATGTGAACAATTTGGGCGACTCGTTCTTGGCGGCGGTCTCTTCCCCTGCCGCCAGCATGGCGACGCAGGACCCAGTGTGGCCGCCTGCTTCGGGCGGTCCCACTTCGCTTGAGTCCTACCTGGGCGAACAGCCCGAGGACACCGCCGCTGCTGCTGGCGGCACTATTTCCTCATCGGCGCCTACGGCTGGACCGACCTCTATGTCAGCCACGGCGCCTACTACCTTGGCTGCGGATGACGCCCAGCCGGGCGTCAGCAGGGCGAAGAGACAACGCCCGAGGGGCCCATCCCCAGTCTTGCTGCTTCCGCCTGCTGCAAGGCGGTGCGGAATGGAGCGTCTGCTCTGCCCCCGTGGCGGTAGGCAGCACTGGGTCTGGATCCGCCCGCTGGGGGCCGATCTTATTAGCCCGTGAGCGGGTCGCGCCCGGAGTGGGCAGCTTTGAAAGCTACAGCCGTCATTCGGCGCCCGAGATCTTTGAGCTGCTGCGGGCGCTGGACCGCAGAGAAGCCCAGCCCGAGCGGCAAGAGGCCCAGGGTGGCGGGCAAGGGCCAAAAGGGCATTCGCCCTTCGGGCGGAACGGGCGTCAAGGGCCAAAGCAAAGGCCTTGCCATTCCACCGCCTTTGAGGGCGGATCCTTATGCGGTCAGACCGCACAATCCGCTCCGGCGGCCAGACCGCCTGGAGCATGACATCCCCTTCGGCAACCGCCGAAAGGATGAGCGCCTCCAGGCGCAGCAGGTGCGCCTTTGGCAGTCGGAGGGGGCGGTCACGACCGAGCCTGTGACCAACCCCGCCTCGCTCCGCCTCTGCCGAAGAGAGCTCGCCCAGATCCATGAGATCGAGAGGGCGATCGAGGCCGACGAGTTTCGAATGTTCCCTGTTTCCAGGGAGGCGAGCTACTTCTTCATCCAGCGCCACGCCACTGAACTCTGGCCGGCATCGCCCCAGACGCCCGGGATGAGGGACGCGTCCTGGGGTGGTGCATGGCGCCCTGCATTTCAGGCAACGCCTGCTGTGGCGTAGGGCGTCGCTGCAAGCCTTCGGAATGAAGAGGCGGCTTCGGCCAGGGCGGCCTCATCCCACTTCGACAGGACCCCGTCCTTCCCGCCCGCCAGAGAACACGGCGGCCGCTTGATCTGAGCCCCCACGGTCCGCTGCACCTAGCCCTGGGCGTCTCACGGTGCTCAACGCCCTACTGGGCGATCATTTGGAAGCCGCGCTGGCCCTTGGCCTGCTCTTCCGCAGACCGCCTGCCACCGCCTTTTGGGTGGCGGCGCTGCCGCCCCTAAGGTGGCCAAGACCACTCTGTGAACGCCTGAGTCAAAAAGGCTGCGCCGCCTTGCTCCTTGCATGCAGCTCATGGGTGGCGTGGGCCACATAAGGTGTCAAAGGCGCTCTCGGCGGCCGACAGCGTGGTCAGCGGAGGCGTAATTTGTGGTGGTCTGTGGCTCCCTCGACTGGTAGTCTCTTCGCTCTCCCTTCGCCTTGCTGGAGGCGGACGTGGTCTGGGGAGGCGCACTTTGAGGTGGTCACAGGCGTACTCACTCGAAATCGGGCACCGCTGCAGGGCTCCTTGCTTGGCTCAAGAGCAACTAGTACTCACCGCCCAAGCGATGGCGGCAGCACCACCGAGTTTTTTCGCAGAGCTGGTGGTCCGGGCAGTGCTCCTGGGGCTCCATGAGCACCTGCCAGCCCTCAAGCAAGGGGGGTGGCAGCCTGGGCGACATATTCAGGGTACTGCCAAGGCGGCCGCGCTGCTCATTATGAATGCGGCCCCCGCACGGGCGGACCAGCCGCCCGTTGCCACTCAGGCGTCCACAAAAGCGGGCCCGTGAAGACGCAAGGGCGGCAGCCCTGCCCGAGAATCGGGGCGAGTCCCGGGTCAGAACGTGGGTCACCATCTGCAACGAGTGGGGCGTGCCGCCCTGGCCTGTGTCCGCCGACGCCTCGCGCAAGGTCGGAGCGTCTATGCGCCGCGGGGTACAGCTCGGTGAAGCTGTACTTCCAGGCAGCCATGCGCCACCAAGAGACCGCCTTACAGCAGGCGGTGCCGGACTTGTTGAAGAAGCTGGCAAGGAGGGTCCACAGAGCTGCGACCCGCGGCCTCCCGGGCAACAAGCTCAAGACCGCCTTTGACTTCTTGGCGCTCATGGTGGTGATACAGCCCAGGGCGCCGTCGGCGCCTTGGGACGGGCAACTCCCGTCCCACGGGGCGGACGCCTTGGTTCATGCTCCGCGAGATCGAGTCCGCCTCACAGCCAAAGTGGGCGACATCTCCGTCTTGTTCCGAGAGGTTACCCTGCAGATTCCCACACACAAGACCACCCATACTCACCGTGCGCACGCTCTGCTGCGCGCCCGGCACCTAGCCCGGCTTAGGGCATTGGGGGCGGACAGCCCCGACAGCCCGCTCTTCCCTGACAGGTTGGGCGGGACCACCACCAAACGAGATTGGGTGGCCATGCTGGAGAGGGTCCTCGCCGCCTGCAGGGTCGGCACTCCTGGTCACCGCCCAGGTCGGCGGTCACGCCGCCAGGGTAACAGGAGCATCCTTCCTCGTGGCTAACGGAGGCCAGGGCCACCCGGCCGCCATTGGCATCAGGTCGGCCTCCGCCTGGCAGAGGCGGCCAGGACCACGCGACAGGGCGGCCACTGCCTTGCCCCGCCCCGTACAGGTGAGCGTTTTTGGGGGGCGACCTACGCCGCCTGCGTTTGTGGCGGCGTCCGGCCCCAGCCGCCTGCACCTGGCAAACCCGGACTAACAGGGCAAGTCGCCCGATGCCTGGACCACGCCATGTCAGTGGCGATATGGCGGAGACTTCGTGCTCAGGTACGATGTGCTTCCGAGAGCGATCGACTTGTGCATCGTCTGCTTTCCGTGGGGCGGCAGGCGCCGGCGCCACGGGCCGTGGGCGCACAATGAGATCGGGCTGCTCAACGACGGCCCGTGGGCCGAATACGTCCAAGCCCCGGGTCGATGTCGCCCACAGAACAGACCAGACATTCTTGGGTTGATGGGCGGCTCTTGGCCGTGCTCACTACTCTTCCGCCACTCTACGGCCCGGAGGTGCCTCGTCTGCTTCTCCGAGACGGGCGCCGGAGCCTTTGGGGCCAGGTGGCCGGGCGGCATACCGCCTTAATTGTGTGGCAGGACCGGGCGTACCACAACAACGCGGTCTTGCGCAAGCCCGACTTCAATGAGCCTCACGGCAACCGCCTGGAGTGGAGGGCGCCGTGCGGTGGACCTATCCCGATGAAGGGACCCCTCGAGCTTGGAGCCGCCAAGAGGAACACCGCCTGTGCATGGTCTGCTTTCCTGAGACGGACAACTCGCCCTCCGGGCGAGGACTCGCCCACCCCCGCGAGGGGGTAGCGCAGGCGGAAAAATTAGTAGGCCCAACCCTTTGCGCGTGGCTTGGGCTGCCTAGATCTCGCCCTTTGCTCGCCAGTCTGTGTGTTCAAGCTTGCCGCCTTTAGCCCCGCCTCGCCCATGACGACCGGCAACACCGGGCATCAAGCGCCTACCACGGGGGCGGGAACTGCGCCCGGGACTGGGGGCGTGCCGTAGCTCGACGTCCCCACTCACCACGTGGTGGGCGACTAGGTGGATATGTTGGCTCGGCTGGCCCAACAAGGCGAAACGGTCCGGCTCTGGGGCCATGACCTCCTCAACGCCTACCGCCAGTGGCCGGTCAAAGTGCCGTCCCACAGCGGCACCATCTTGCACACCGCCTCGGGACCTACTCTGTATTCCACCACGCCATGTGTTTCGGGGCGGCGGCCTCTGTGTGGAACTTCAATGGAGCAGGGGACGCACTGCAGTTCCTCACTCGCGCCCTGCTCTTCCTCGTGGGCGGCCACTACGTCGACGACTTCAACGGGGTGGATGCCACGGACCTCGCGCACTCCGCCTTCCACGGCTTCGCCGACTTCTTCCTGCTCATGGGACTGGCATAAACCGCCTCACCCCGGAGACAGCCCACCGCCTGGCGGGCAAGCTCAATTTTGTCAACCAGACAGTGTTTGGTAAGGTGGGGCGGGCGGCGGTGGCGCCCATTTACGCCAGATCTGGCGCCCACTCGGGCGACAAATCGGAGCTCACGCCTGGGCTCCAGGCCGCACTCCTGGCCACTGCGGCGCTGCTGCAACAGGTCCCACCTCGCCTGGTGCCATTCACCGCCCCACGGGCGGTCAACTGCGTGGTGTACGCCGACGCCTTCTT